TCCCCCTGTCATCATAAACAACGTGATATAACAAACTAATCACTCCCATAACTGATGGCACACAACCGGAAACAACCACGTGTCAAGAACTAAGAAAAAAAAACGTAAAACAGAAAAAAAAGAAAAGAAACTGTACTGGGTTATGTGACGTCTAAAGAAGCGAATTCCGCATCTGTTAGTAGAACAGACGCTTGACTGACGCAACTGTCACTTCCTTTCCTAATTCTATACGCTTCCATTATTTCCATCGCCATCCGCTTCTTGTGCCTGTCAATTATTCGTGTGTCTGAAAATTTCGGTTCGCAAGTGCACTCCTTGCAGAGCGTCGCTAAGTGTGAGTAAGGGGCCCCCTTTAGTGAGCAATCATGTTCACGAAGGCGCACATTCAGGCACCGACCCGTGTGACCAACGTATTCTTTTCTACATGTGAAAGGAGTTTCATATACAACATCTTTTTTTGCACTCAACGTACCTCCTGCCATGTTTTATGCTACATCTCTCCGATTCTCCCGTTCCTTTCTCGTCGGCTAGCCTTTCTACTGCTGGGCAAATCTTCGATAAGTTGTTTTAAGCTGAAAAGACAACCCACGCGCCATACGTTAATGCGACTTTTTTCAACCAATGTGAAATATTGTGCAGATATGGGATGACCACTGTACGCTCTTTTTCACCCTCAACTTGTCTCCCCTCTTCGCGTGTGCCGATCATTGTATTTTTCTCTTCCCGACGATTCTTCTCACAGGCCAATAGGATACAATCATCTTGGTAACCCACTCCCCTTAAGCACTTGATCTGCGTGGAAACGCTCTCATTGTACGCACAATTTCCTGAGGGCAGCTTTTATGCAAGAAGTTGCGATCCTATTCTTTACAATCTTCGAATGTGCCGAATGATAGCTCAGCAATGCTTTTTCTGATCTAGGGTGACACACCTAACACGTGTGAAAGAGAGGCAACCTAATTTTTAGGTCCAGAAACTGAATGCATCGTTCCTTTGGCACCTCAAAGGTAAACTGTAAGCTGCACCCGTTTTTCTTAAAGGCTTTCAAAACAGTCACTAACGTGCTCTCACCCAGATCGTATTTTACCAAAACAAGGTAGTGATCTAGGAAAGAAATCTGAACATCTTCAGATCCATACCATCTAGCTCCTTACCTGCTGCTGTGTCAAGTTCGCTGAAAAACACAAAAAAAAACATTGCACAAGATCGGGGTGACACTAGACCCAATGCAAATTCCATCCTTCTGGACGTACAATTTTTCATTCCACCCCACTAGCGTGGAACTCAGATACATCGCTAAAATTTCCACAATACCTTCTACAGACACACCACTGGCGTTACGAGAAGCCATTTCATCAGTCTTGTCTGTGATGCACTGTTTTACGCTTTGTAGTAACCGACCATGCGGAACAGAATAGTAGAGATTGACGACATCAATACTGAAGGCATCAGAGATCCTTGCGTCATCTCCCTTTAGGTAGTGTACTACTCCTATGGAGTTGGAAACCAAAAACGAATAAAAAAACCGGAACGCTTTCAAATGTTTTTGTAAAAATTCGGACAAAAGACGTAGCCAGGTACCCCTTTCTGAGACAGTGGTTCGGAACGGAAGGTTTTCCTTGTATGTTTTTACCCTAAAGAACGCTTCCAGCAACAAGCCATTGTCGCCCTTCACCGCTGAAGACAACCTGCTAAGGTTCAGGTCAGCTAGCTTCCTAACCACCTAAAGATTTACTAGGCTGACCTTCTCATCAACTTTCCGGAAACTTTATGGGCGAAGCTCCTGAAAGCGGCACCCGTTCGTCCCTCGTAGTCGTAGTAGTAGTCGTAGTGTGTAACGAGTCTTATATTTTGACCCCCAAGGTGGCGCCGTTGAAAGATTTCTTCTGTATGTTGTTGAACAATAAAGGATAGTGCTCAATGTACGTGCCAATGGCTGTTAAGGGGAAATGAGAGACAGGAGAATTCGGCTTTTAGTAAATGCGCACGCGGCGAATTTTTTATTGTTCAGCAACGCACAGAAGACAAGAAAGGGTTGCTACGTTATGCTCGCTGGGCGTAACCTCCTAGGTTTTAGAAAGGTTTAGCGAGCGTTGGGCCGCAGTGCCATCAATACAGTGAACTAGTATATACCATGAACTCGAGGTGGTTAAAGGTGGGAAGTAGACACGAAGCCCAAGCCGTAAGAAAGTGTGCGTGTGCCTCCTCTCATTCAGTCCTTGGAATGTCCGCTGGATGGCGGTGCTTCTATACGAGGAATATATGATGAAAAGATGCGAGATGTTGGTACCTGGATTGTTGAATAGGTGGACGAATGGACATACAGACAGATGCATGGATGGGCGCACAGATGGCTGCACGGACGGATGGACGCATGGACGGACGCAGGAGCGGATGCATGAACGAAAGTAGGGACGGACGCACAGATGAACGTGCGGACGCACGAACAGACGCACGCACGGATGGGCGGATGGACGCACGGGCGGCCACACAGACGAGCCCATGGATGGACGGAAGCAAGAACGAATGGCGGTCGGATGCTTCGCCCCACTATCTATTATTCACTCCGTGTATATGCTGCCATTTTTTTTCTATAGCGGCCTGAGCCTTCTCCAAATACAACTTCTCCGGCAAAATCACAAAGTAACCCTCTTACCTGAAACCGCTATACGACTACCGCTATCAGACTGGAACCTAATCACAGGTTCAATTTTCTTTGCTATGTGTGGGGTTACATTGCTGGACGAAAACACATTCAAGCAATCAGTACTGCACCTCATTTTTTTCTCCTCCTTCACACAGCTTGCAACAGACCTGACCACTTCCATCTTCTCGGCATTGGAGAGAACCAGTTCCACACAGAACTTGCGTTCGTGGTAAAGAAGCTTTTAATGATGGTCGGGTAATACCAGATCTCCTAGCATCATGATCTTTCCTTCCGTACTTGTGCATCTTTCCTTCTCGGGTAAACCTTTACGTGTCTGATTCGACAAGGCTTCTGTGGCACTTTCTGACAGCCGTAGCCCCTCTCGGCAGTGACGGTAACCATTTCCGCTCTGACTGCGATAGGCCCCTCGCAAGCAGTCTTTGAAGTACCGAACCTGAAGGCTCCGTTCCGAGGACAGATTTTTGCATGCTGTTTCAACGAGTGGGAGCCAATAGCCCGCACAAAATTTGCACATCTGGGGGGCAAAGCGACGCTCGGTTGTACCATGAGGCAATGCGAATCTTGCAAACGTAGAGAGCGATTAACGAGGTGATGGTGGCAGGGTTAGAAAGGAAGGCGGTATTAACACAGGGAAAAGGGCCCTTTGTACTGGAACTTATATTTAGCATGACTGCCAGTTGGGCGTGTTGGTAAAGGCTGATGATTGATTGATTTAAGGTGTTTCACGCCCCGAAACCACCACATGATTATGAGAGACGCCGTAGTGGAGGGCTCCGGAAATTTTGACCACGTGGGGTTCTTTAACGTGCACCCAAATCTGAGCACATGGGCCTACAACATTTCCGCCTCCATCGGAAATGCAGCCGCCGCAGCCGGGTCCGAACCCGCGACGTGCGGGTCAGCAGCCGAGTACCTTAGCCACAAGACCACCATGGCGGGGCTTGTTGGTAAAGGTTCATGATGAAACAAGCGCTAAAGTTTACACATACTCAGAGAGAACTCGGACGAGTGCTTACTAGCAAACGAAAATTTTATTTCGAAGCGAACACTAATAAATACATCACACGCATGTACGTGGAGTGCACCTGCCAACCGAAATTTTCAGACACGCAAATAATTGACAGACACAAGAAGCGGACGACGAGGGAAATAATGGAAGCGTGTAGAATCAGGAAAGGAGGTGACAGTCTCGTCAGTCAAGTGTCTGTTCTACTTACATATGCGGGATTTGCTTCTTTAGACATAACATAACCCAGTGCATTTTCTTCTTTTTTTCTGTTTTATGTTTTCTTTTTTTCTTAGTTCTTGACACGTGTTTGTTTCCGGTCGTGTGCCACCGATTATGGGAGTGATTATTCTGGTATATCACGTTGTTGATGATGACAGGGAGAAGTTGGGAACGACGTACATGCGTGCGATGTATTTATTATTGTTCGCTTTGAAATAAAATATTCAATTGCTAGTAAGCGCCCGTCCGTGTCCTCCCTGAGTGTGGGTAAATTTTAATGCTTGTTTCATCATAAACCGTTTACCAACACGCCCAGCTGGCAGTCATCTTATATCTATCTGCTTTACCCACGTAAACGTAAACACTAATACCAGTTTCTAAGAGCGATGAACGATAAAAAATACATAGCATGAAAACCCAGGACCCCTTGAAAAACACGGCTCCTGATCACTTGGGACAGAATTTCGTTTTCATTTGTTGCAAGCAGGTTTTGCTATTCGCGGCGAGACCGGGCTGTAGTTGGCAGCACCGTCCCCGTAGAAGTGTGGACCGGCGCTTCGTTGCGTGCTGTCTGACCCGATTGATGGCTAATAAAACGCGTTGACTGATATCTACCCTTTCATCTACTGATTCAGTTCACGAAGCCTATGCAACGTTGCCATTAGGAGCGAGTGAAGTGCATTATGCTTGTCATATGAGTGCTGACCCTGAATGACTGTCTGCGCGCTTTCGCCCTAAATGACGCATTTGCTGTGTCGTTTGTACGTGTTTAGCTAGCGTTCCGTTTGCTTCGCACTGCTGTAGCTTGACTGAACTACTTAATTACATCTTCCCCATCTGCATACGACAAAAATACAAAGAAAGGACGTAGAAAGCCCACATATCTGTGTGATAAGTTCAGTACCACTGTTCGGACTCATACGCATATGCATCTCTTTTTCTCATTCTGTTCGCCATGAAATGTGAAAAAGTCCATAGGTTCACTCAGGAAAGCTTAGTGGCTAACAGCGCTTTGCGCTACAATGCATTTACCACGTATATCCACAAGTAAATGTCTTGTAATAGCTCAACAAAAAGCTTTAATCGAAGGATTACGTGCGTGACAGTGCTACAACAAAGTTCTCGTTATTTTATAGAACAAGCTGATTTTTTTTGTTAAGGATAATGACCGCTGCCTTCCATCGGTCAATAACAATGTCACATAAACGCTAAGACAATGTAACATGGAGGAGATTTTCAGTGCAACTTTAAAACAATAAGTGTAAAGCATGCCACCCGCAATAATTTTGAACGTTTGGGCTTTTTAAAGTGTTCTAAAGTATTTAAGCATACGGTTGAACACAGCAATCCCATTTCAAGTACAGTTCCAGTACTGTAGTGTCACAGTTAGTATTTGATAGAAATATTTTTCACGTAGTGGTACCGCGGGCAGCTAAACACAACTAAAGCTCCTCGCATAATTGATAAGTCACAATGCCATATTTGTTCACTTACCAATGATTACACTCGCGCAAGTGCATTAGTAGGGCCTCGTTTTCTTTTTTGTTGTTTTTTGTTGTGTGCAACCGAGTCACTGAAACGATGCATTCACTCACCATCTGTTGCTCCTAATGCTTGACAGGATGCCAACAACATTTCACGATGTGCTTGAGGCTGAAAGCGGTACCCACTCGCATAATATTCTGGTGAATGGAGGGTGCGACGACAATAAACAGCACTCTAGAAAGTTGCACTCACCGATATTATTACCAATTCATTAGCAGACAAGCAAGAACAAATGTTCTCGTGCGCCCTTTCAGGCATAAGTATAGGCGGTTACACTGGCACTCAGATAACCAGACAAACCTCCTTTGGATAACGGGCGTGACCTACGTGCACATAGAAGTACGACGTGGCTAGCGGTCGACGCGTAGCAGCAATCCAGACTTCCGCGTTTCAGCCAGTTGCCGCAATTAAGGCGGCGACTCCGCGCGATTTCACGGCCGATTTCTTAGCGAAAGCACAAGTCATATGCATCCATAGAAGTAGAAAGGCGTGCATGAGCAAATTAGGAGCTACACATGATTTTCAAACATGGTAAGACATGTGAATTAATTCATTCATTTGACGTGTCCTCATTTCCGCAGAATTGCCGCGTAAGATTCACCAACGGCATCACGAAGGGTTTTCGCGGCGTCACTTTGTTTCTGGAATATGACGTTGTGTACACGAAAGAATATATGAGAAGGTCCGTAGTGTTCTACGGTCGCATTAGGCATTTGAATTTTTCAGCATTTTCTATGACGTAGGTGGGAGCCGTTTCGTTGGGGTCACGTGCTGTAAGCGCCGGAAGGTTGTCGTCGAATAGCAGGCCTTTCTTCCTTAAGGAGTCGATATAGCCTGCGTCAGTTTTTTCGGCAATGTCGCCCCACCGCACTCCGTCGTCCCTCTGCGCCGCTGCAAGCTTCATCTGCAAGGTGGAACGTAAGAAAGAATGTACACAAGATTCGCCTACATGCAGTCAAAAAGACTAGAACAAATTGTTTTACATAGTTAATTCAATTGCATTGATATTCCTTTTACCATCAGTGTAGCGCTAATGACTTCAGCATTCCGGTTTCGAGTGGCCACTTTAATTTCGGTTGGACAGTTTCATATATGTGTTTTAGTAATTGTTTAAATGCAGGTACGAAGGTGTGAGTGAACGTAGCCCAAGTTTCGCCCCCCCTTCCCAAAATGAACTTGCCCTGTATACGACATGCTCATAAAACACATGACGGCTCTGGCAAGAGAATAGTTTGTTTTGCAGCGAAAGCTGTTATTTGATCACAACAAGGGTCGCCTGTACCGTAGTTGTCCGCCGCCACTGACTCCAGACAACCCCTATCTCGTTAAATAAAAAAAACACCAAGGACGGAATAGGATTCGAACCCGGGTACCTTTCCTTCCAGTGCAGTATTGTAGCACTGTGTGGCTGCTGCTCTTTGCTCTTCCGTTCGCACCCCTGTGGCAGCAGCTGGTTGAGATCAATATAAGTGGGCAGCGCAATGAAACAGTAGCAAGATTCTTGGTGGTGACTATCGATATCAAAAAAGGGGCCCAGATTGCATCACTGACACTTTTATATGCAAAGCATTTCTTAGCGAACTTCGGCGACATTGACGTATCCATCTATCTATCTATCTATTCATCTATCTATCCATCTATCTATCCATCTATCTATCCATCCATCTATCTATCTATCTATCTATCTATCTATCTATCTATCTATCTATCTATCTATCTATCTATCTATCTATCTATCTATCTATCTATCTAGCCACCTACAACCTTTACCTCTCCTGGCAGTTTCGATAATGGTATCGATACCGAAATTAATATGGCATAACTTGACTGTATGAAAAGCCTAAGCGACTAGTCGTAAAATGAAAATCGGGACATGTATGTCATGAATCTCATGATTTACATTTCATGGTCTTGCTTCTCTTGCTGTGCTTTCGTTTACATGACATGTTGCAAAACTGGTACGGCATATATGACATGATCACATGGCGAACAAAAGCGACATACCCTATCATGAAATCATGACATGCGTTTCATGTAACAACAAGACTACATGCCACACTCGTGTTGCGCTCGCGGTCGTTTCGCTAGCTTCACATATACCAAATTTGGTATTACGGGGCGTGAATGGAGAACGAAGGTGTGTGACTGGTTCAAATATTATAATTATGAGATGCGGGTCGTATGACAACATGGCTACATGCCACGCTCATGATGCGCTCGCCGCCGCTTCGCTAGCTCCACATATACAAATTTGGTGTTACGGGACGTGAAAGAACGACAAAGGGACGTGACTGGTGAAAACATGATAAGCATGACATGCGTTTCATGTAACAACATGGCTACATGCCAGGCTCATGATGTGCTCGCAGCCGATTTGCTAGCTCCACATTTACCGTATTTGGTATCGAATCACGCGAATGGACGACGAAGGTAAATGTCGCGTCCAAACTTGAAATCATGGCATGCGTGACATGTAAAACATGACTACTTGCTACGCCATAGTGAGCTCGTGGTTGTTTCACTATAGCTTCACGTATACCAATTTTCGTGTTACGTGATCGTCAATGAATGACGAAGGTATATGACTGGCGCAAACATGATAATCATGACACGCGTGTCATGTAGGAAGATGACAACATACCACGCTCATGATGCGCTCCCGGCCGTTCCGCTAGCTCCGCATATACCTAATTTGGTATCACGTGACGTGAATAGACGGTGAAGGGAAATGACACGTCCAAATATGATAATCATGATATGCGTTTCATGTAAAACATAACTACATACTACGCTTAAGGCGTTCTCCTGGTCATTTCACTAGTTACACATATACCACACTTGGACGTGACGTGAATGGTAGACAAATGTAAATGACACGCCCAAGCATGATAGTCATGACACGCATGTCATGTATAACATAACTGCATGCTACGCTCATAGCGCGCTCTTGACCGTTTTGCTAGCTCAACCTATATGAAATTCGGTATTACATGACGTGTATAGACGACGAAGGTATACGATACGTCTAAACAAGATAATCATGGCATGCGGGTCGTGTAAAACTTGACATCATGCTACGCTCATTGGACGCTCGCGACCGTTTCGCTAGCTTCACATATACCGAATTAGGTATCAGTTGACCTGAACAGATGCCGAAAGTAAATGAAACATGCAACATGCAACATGCATACATCATATTCGTGGCATAGAAGCAATGTACGGCATCATTTTCCCACCTCATATTGTTTTGCTGATCTTAAAGTGACATATCAACCTTCCTCTTTCGTGCTTCGCATATCATCGATTCCCACTGTACGTGGGATCTGGCAATTCTTTATGTTTATTTAGAAAATACACCCCTTAAAATGACTGGTTTGTGTGACTTTCGCCTTGCCGCGGTGGTCTAGTGGCTAAGGTACTCAGCTGCTGACCCGCAGGTCGCGGGATCAAATCCCGGCTGTGGCGGCTGCATTTTCGATGGAGGTGAAAATGCTGAAGCCCGAGTGCTCAGATTTGGGTGTACGTTAAAGAACCCCAGGTGGTCGAAATTTCCGGAGCCCTCCACTACGGCGTCTCTAATAATCATATAGTGGTTTTGGGACGTTAAACCCCACATATCAATTAGTCTGATTTTTCTGTTAGCACTTAGCATGCGTGCACATTATTGGCATTAGCTTGGTCCTGGAGCAAAGTCCGCCACTTACTTTTAGCAACCGAACTTTCGCTTTTTATCGCTGCGTGTACAGAGGTTTGTTTTGTTCTCATAGTTTTATCAAGCACTCTTTGGAGCACACAAAGAAACACTGTGTTTGTCTTCTTCATTCGTTTAGGCATGAAAGGTCACACTTAGAAAGGTACTTAATAGACACTTATGCAGCTTCTGCAGCCGGTCAGAGAGAAAACACTTATCACGACTGGCCTATACGCAATTAACCTGCGTATAAAAAGCGTTTGGCATTCTGTTTAAGAAAGAGGCTTGTAGATTTTGTGACAAATAAGAATCTGCTCTTTATACCGAATTTTTACGGCTGTTTACATAAAAAGTTCTTTGGGTGCCGCCACACTCACCCCTGCAGGGACTGTGTAAAAGAGCCGCGTCACGTTCCCGTCCCCCTCTCCTTAAAAACAAAAAATACAGGATTAAAGGTGAATGAAAGCAGAAATTCCGAGCATTGCCTACGTCATCAGTGCATCACTAAGATGACTCAAAAGTTAAAGCCTCAGTGGCGATGATTCAAACACCAAAAGGTCTCATAAGACTCCAACAGGTCATATGACGCTTAACTCATTATGCCCATGCAAGAGCCATGAGTGAATTTCATCGAAAGTTTGCATATCTATTCAACCACAGTAGACAACAACTGCTGTTGATTTTCATGTTATGCTTATTTCTGCAGAAGTTATGATAGTAAAATAGTAGGTTGGGCTCTTGCCATAGCAATGGACAAACTAGCTTGGTATGAGATTAGTAAGCACGTTAGGCCCTTGTCAAACTAATTTATTGTTAGCTTAGTATGCTAAACTTGTCGGAACGCCAACGCTTTTCGCGTAATATAACGCCACGCCTTTCGCGGCACCATTTCTTTCGTGTATGATGGACAGTAAACCTGAGCCATTTTTCAATCTTCATGTGCGAATATCTGTATAGGTAGAGTATAAGAGCAGGCGCAATAGGCGCTGGCGTCCACATGATACTTCTGTTCGGTACAGGGCGTAGGCAGTGTCTTGCTAATGTTCAGGTGAATGGCAGCAGTCAATGCATATTGGCTGAAAAACTCGAATAGGTTAGCGTATCCTCCTTAGGTTCAGTGCAGCAATGCCCATCATCAATGTAAATAGAGGCCTCTGCCACTTTTTTCAACGGCTGAAAATTCTGTAGTTATATATACGCAGTTTTGTAATAGAGGTTATTCTCTCGTATGCCACTGCTCAAGCTGCTGACGAGCTTAGGTGGTGGCATTACGTTTTCAGCGAAAGCTGTTATGAGATCACTTTTCGGGCCACGCACAGTTGCGTGTTGTCCGCCGCCGCCATGGCCGGTGTCCGTAACCACATCGCGCGAAATTAAAAATGGCAGCATATCCACGGAGTGAATGATGGAGAGTGGGGCGAAGCATTCGTCCGTCCATGCGTCCGTCTGTGTGACCATCCATGCGTCTGTTCGTGCGCCCGTCCCTGCGTTCGTTCATGCATCCGCCCCTGCGTCCGTTCATGCGTCCATCCATGCATCTGTCTGTGTGTCCGTTCATCCATATATTCAACACTCCAAGCCCCACCATCTCGCATCTTTTTATCATATATTCCCCATATAGAAGCACAGCCATTCAGTGGATATTCCAAGGACTAAACGAGAGGTGCCACACGCACACTTTCTTACGGCTTGCGCTTCGGGTCTACTTCCCACCTTCAACCACCTTGAGTTCATGGTATAAACTAGTTCACTGTATTCATGGCACTGCAGCCCAATGCTCGCTAAACCTTTCTAAAACCAAGGAGGTTACGCCCAGCGAGTATAACGTAGCAACCATTTCCTGTCAGATAGTGCTCAATGTACATGCCAGTGGCTGCTAATGTGAAATGAGAGACAGGAGGATTCAGCTTTTAATTTCTTACGGCTTGCGCTTCGTATCTGCTTCCCCCCTTTAACCACCTCGAATTCATTCATGGTATATCCTAGTTCATTGTATTCATGGCCATGCGGCTCAACGCTCGCTAAACCTTTCTAAACCTAAGGAGGTTACACCCAGCGAGTATAATGTAGCAACCCTTTCTTGTCCGATAGTGCTCAATGTACATGCCAATGGCCGCTTATGGGGATCACAGCGTGCGCGTTGACTGAAAGCCGAATGATCCTGTCTCTCATTCCCCATTAGCAACCATTGGCATGTACATTGAGCACTATTT